AAAAGACAAGAATTTGAACTTACGAATTTTATATAATTCAACAAGTACGATTAATGTATCTAATATTAATTTACATCACATTTCGAGCTTTTATTTCAAATTTACATTCCCGTTATCGCTGCTAATAACATTAATGTCATTGTTTGCTTGACGCACATTAATCTACAATGACATTAATGAAACGATTTATTAGCATAGTTTGCATTCTAGTTTCCAAAGATGATATGACACCTGCTTTCCTTATTGTAATTTCTAAAATTAAAATAATGTTCTTAATTATTAATTAAAATTTAGCGATAGAAGACCGCTCGAAAGTTAAATGGCAACAGTTTAATATCAGCAGAAGGAAGAGTGAAATTCTACATGCAAATTTATTGCCGGTAATGTACTCGGGAGTATCGCAACAAATCCGCGCGTGTATGTATGCACCTTAATGATCTTGGTGTCCGATAGGTAGGAAGCTGATTACTCATCGGGACATCCATACCGAACGTTTAGCGACTTATTGTGTCTGGTTATTGAACCCTTGAGAGAGTATCCACTACCCATTCTCTGCTTCTCTAGCTAGCATCTCCTTCTACCTCAGCCGTTATATTCGCGGATACATGTATACCTTCCATTATAATTATATACGTCTGGTATACCTACGCGCATTCAAACAGGTTACATAAGGCTCCGCGGAAACAGGGGGGGGGGGGAGTACAGGAAGAGAAATAAAGAAAAAGAGAAATATAACGAAGATGAGAGAGCGCGTGAGGGGAACGCGATGACATGAAGTTTATTAGGTAAGGCCCGCCGGGACTCCTTTTCAGTTAAATACGCCATGCACGGAATGGAGATAAGTTTCGATGTTACAGTAGTACCGTCTACTTTCTCCGGTGGCTGATTAATTTTCTTGAAAAAACAGGCCTGTAGGTAAAGCCTTCATTTTCCAACAGAATAAGCACGAAGAGAAACAGATCGCGGTTTTATCTCGTCCGCGCAGCGATAAAAGTAATGTAGACCAAACAAATGACATATGTGCGGATAGAAAGATAAATATAAAAATCCTTAAATAGAAAATAATAAATTTTCACAACAACAAGCTATCTTTTACAGACATTTGCAACAACTTTTTAATATGCTTGATGGCAACAATCATTAATAAAGAAGTTGTTTTGTATTTAAAATACAAAAATATCGCACTCTCAGCAATAAAAAAAAAACATAATACCGAGAAATATGTTTTTTATATAATAGATATTTTGATTGATAATAAATTGCAACAATTGCGACTAAATATTTCACATATTTAGTCTTTTTTGCTATATGTACACTCGGTTATACATATATGTCGATTAATTTGCTATTAAAAAAAGTGATTTTACAAAATCCCGATCCCCGTTTAGAAAAAGGCGTTTGCAACATGCTTCCGGAAAACCTCTTCAATTTGTTACCGCATGGAATTCTCCGCCTCTTTATGTGCAAGATGCAGATGACCGCCTAGGCCTGCAACCACGCAAATTAATTTTGCGAGCGCGCGAGGCACAACAGCCTGCGTAAGAAATATCGCGAATACGCATGCGGTGGTATCTCGTACGCGTGGGTGTACAGTTGCCAGGCATTACTGCAGAGATAACGATTTGTTACCCATGCGAAAGCGCTAGCTATCGTTTCTCCTATTTGCCTCTTTTTCCCTATCTACAAGTTACATAAATTCACTCGAAGTACGTCTATTTGATAAATTCTTTCTTTCTTTATGCGACTGCAGATACCTGATCTACACAAGCTTATTACTACTATTACGTTCACTATTTATTCCGTCAGTTTTTCTGCATATACAACGCATTGATCGTGCGAATAATTGTTGAGAAAGCAGTTTTCACGGACAATTTTCTCATAATGCAAGTCTCAGCCGTCGTGGGTGGTACGGAGTTCGCTTGTCGTCGCTTGTCGTTTCAATGACATCGCCATGGGAATCGCAACTGGGCACGGTACTGTAATTTAACACTTTACGAGCGATCGCAGTCAGCAGATTCGAAAACAAAGGCTTTGCCAATTTTTCTAAAGACTGTTAATAGAAGACAACCGTAAGCTAATTTCAGCTGCTAGCCTGTTTTTTACTATTTTTAAATTTAACGTCAAAAAAACTTTTGTAAACTATTATTTGTCAGCTATATATATTTGAAAACTTTTATGACTAAAATTTATTGCATAAATCAATAATAAAGTAAATACGATTTACACATCTTGCTAGAATTATAATAAACAATGTCTGGAAAGTTAACATTCTGAATGAGATAATTATACATATACGTACTCATCACTAGCATTATCACGGCACGCGATAAATAATTGCGAATAACGTTATAAACTAGCATCCTATAATTATTTCAACCTAATTCGACCACGAAATTGATCGCAATTTACATAATGAATTTGTTAGGATCAATATATCGCGTTTGCCGCAAGAAAAGCCGGTTTCCCTTTCGTTTTCCATACGTGTGAACACGTGTACGTCCGGAAACTAGCTTGAATTTAGATTGTACACATGTGTGCTCGAGAGCGGAAAAATCGAACTCTATATGAGACGAACAAGCAGAGAAAGAGGCGAGTGCGGTAAACGTATGATGTCACTCTGCGGTTCGCGGAAATTCCGGGGTTTCAAATATTGGAACGCATATCTCTGCGGGCAAACATTTATTTAACTCCCACTCCGCTTGACCGTCCTCGTCGCCCCGAACCGTGTCCGATTCCAATTCACCTACTCCCTCACCTTTCCTCCCCTTCGGCTATCCCGCGTTTATTCGACATTTCGCGCGAACGTGCCTTTGAGCGCACGACGACCGACGAAATGCAATCCGATCGAAGGCGATACGTCGAGCGCGCGCTGATGTAGTGGTGTCGATTAATGGACTGGAAGCGATCTTGTTTCCAATGTGCGTGTGTACGAGACCGTTTCGGTCTTGATCAATTGCCGCGAAAATAAAGGTTGCGATGAATGCGATCGCAGCGCATACGGTGCGCAATAATCGAAAATTGATAATCTCAATTTTGGACTTGGAATTTATCTAATTTAAATATTCTATAATATGAATAAAACTACCTTTTCAACATAAATAACATGCAATTATATTCTGCATTTATGGCACAAAACAATTTCTGTAATATTTTTTAGCATTTCCTTTGCGTTTAAAATTAAAAAACACAAATGAAAAATAGACTTATTCTCAAGATTTGTGATGCTAATTTTATTTCAATTAACGTTGAAATGAGATTTGTACGTGTGAAGGAATTGGTGCAAGAATATAAGCTTATAAAGTATACAGCGATGTGTTTTTAAAACTTTTCAAAATTACTACGCATTACTCACGTTTTTCATTTCATCTTCTCCTTTTCTGTGAGGACAGATTTTGCTGCAAGTTTTGATAAATAAATTTAATAAATAGATCGTAATATGCCTCTCTGCGTGGGAAGAAAAGATGATGAAAGTAAAAATAATACGCGCTTCCGCGTTTCTCGATGCCATTGTTCACCGCCGCATATATGACGTGACTGGAACAATCGCGTAGGTTCAGGAAGACTGGAAAGACACGGATCTCGAAGCTCTCAAAGGGGAACTAAATTTAACTGTACTTGCCTCGCCCCTCTCCGGCAAATTTACCTGCGTTAATACTCAACGAGCACGGTTAGCCTTCACGGCGTTAACGCGAATTCGATACGCAAACCGCAAATATACTGCTGCAACCGCCGTGCATTTTCAGCCAGCGTCTGGTTTCTCGCATATTTCACCGTGGAATATCTCACCATTAGATATATATATAAAATGTTTCGATGCGACATTTTAAAAATACCTCCAAAAATGCACAATATCTACTCTACTTTAAACGCTCGATAAAAAATTACTAATTAAAATTGATAACAACTAAAATTAAAAAAGATAAGTCTGTTTTATTGAAGAAATAAATGTTGATTTTAAAAATTCTTTTAACGATTAAAAATAATTATAACCATTAAACAGTTATCTTTATATATCGTGCGTTTTAATTACCGCAACTGCGGTGCAATATTTAATCCAATGTATCGTATTTAACGTAAGATACAACTCTGTTCTAAGTTCACTTCACGATTATAATCGAATAAATTACTTTCTATTGCGGCATTTCAATTAAAAACTTTTCCTCGGTTGGGAAAAACACTTTAACGATTGTTCGCACAATAATGCGCACTTAACGCCGGTTATTCCGCTGTTTTATCGTAACAACGTGTGTTTAAATTCTGTCTACGAATAACTATTCCTTCCACTGAATGCGCTGTTTAAAAGAAAATTACCCCGTTCAACGTGCACGTCGGAGATTACAAACTAAACCGTGCTAATTACTCGACTCTGCTCAGACTTTTTGCGCGACCTCCGACGTATTCGCCACATTACTTTGAGGTGGGTCTTCGCTTAACGAGAGAAATACTACCTTGAGTAACACTGGTTTGCCTTTCAGAGCTCGTCGCTCCTGAGGCTTCAGAGCCTCCCCGCTGTGAACGTGCCGAGGGGAAACACACACCCTTTTCACCTAAATATTCTTCATTACTCCGATGACTCTACTATTAACGGCTGTCCACTGTGTGATTACCCAGCGCGATTCAACCGCGAGGGACTCATAAAGATACAGGATCTATCTTCGCAGAACTTGACTTCAGATAACATGCAAGAAGACCACTGTGACCCGGGGTGCAATTAAGCGGCCACAAATAGCCACTATCATTATGCGTGGTATAAATAAATTACGCAAAATTGTTCGGAAAGTCAGAAGTAGGTAAAAATATCGATATACCACGAACTATGGAATAGTTCCGTGAGAGAAATTATAAAAATTCTAACGTAAGAGTGAAATTTCGTGAATGTAATTTGCGCTTTTCACAATTTCGCTCATGACGCATAATGTATAATGGAGCGAAGCGCTCATCAGCGATTTCCAAAAATGCATCAGTAGTTATAAGTGATAGAAATTATGATTGACACTTACCTCTCACCTTCATGGAAGCCCTCAAATTCTTCCTGCTGCTCGTTGATAGAGGCCTCCAGGTCCAAATAAGCGCCATAATCACCGCCCTTGTACAGCTGGAGCGCCGTGTCGTCGAGCTGAAACACAGGTAGCACGATACGTTGAGAAACGCGACTGTTTTGCGTGCGGTGGTAATCGCGCCGCGAAAATTATTGCCACGCCGATGGCGGTCGTTAGCCGGTTTTCGCATAACCGCTGTCCACTTAAGAGGCACATCTGCTGCGAGAAGATAGCGGCGAGCCGCGAATTCTTCGGCGAGCTCGTGATTTTTCCGGCGAGCGTGAAAATCATATTACTCTTAAAAATGTTTCGGGAAATGAAAAAAGAACTTTCTCTACAACAGATGAATAAAAACTATATACCATAATATTTTTTAGTAGTATTAAAATATAAAGAGATGCTTTGATTCGTAAATTCTAGTTTCATGCATAAATTCTATGCAGAATATTATTATACATGATATTATACGTAAATTAATGTTTAACTTTCTAACTTTCAACCATTAAGTTCTATATTTGTTTATTTAATATATGTGTTTAGACTTTATTTATTTCAAGCTATTATTTTATATAACCTTTTAATTAGATAACGATATAAATAAGAAATGTTCCTATATCAACTTTTAAGTGAAGAAACAAATGAGTTACACAAAAAATGTGTTTCTATTAAAAAAGCCAAAACACTTCAATAAGGAGAATGTCTTTTAAATCGTTTGATCAGTTCTCGATTAAATCAATCCAACGCATCAATTCATTAATCAAAATGAAGTGCTTCTCATTGAGAGATCTCCGGGACTTCTAAGAACAAGTTCAATGCGTGTACAGAAGTCTTACGGGTCAACAATCCGGGCTAATGCGGCTATTCTGCTAAATTTATCTACGGATCAGTTGGTCCACATACGCTGTTCCCATACGCAAGAGATGATAATCGCTTGGTTTAGAATCAGGTGGCTCTCACTAAATATAAGTTTCCGACTCGCGTATTCTAGACTTAAATATCAGAAATGAAAATAGGTATAATTGCGGAGATAATTCAACGAGAAATAGTAGAAACGATAAATTAAACTTTATCACACGAATAACCGCATGATAAAATAAAAAAAAATATACATGCAGTAGTTTCGGTTAGTTTTTCAATTCCTTATGTATTTTTTATTTCATTTTACCCATTACTTTTGCTATTCCGATGCTAGTTCATATCATCAAAATTTCATTACCCCCCTCCTCCCTGTCAAAGAAAAATCGAACGGTGATGGAAAGAGCTGAATTCGCGGAAGCAACAAGTTGGCGCATCCCCGGTTTTGAGCGATGCGACATGTGTCGCGCATGAAGAAATGAAAAATCGCAGTGTCGATAAAAAGTTCCACGCGCGTGGAAATTCACGACCCGATCGATTTAAATTTCTTTACGGACGTCGAAATTCTTAAATTCGTGAACCGCTTGAGTTCTGTTGAATTTCCTGCCGCGACAAACCGTGAGAAAAGTGTAACAGCCGGACGATCATATTGGACGATCGCACCAATCGACGTAAATCCCGCGCGCCCTCTCGAAACGGCCGAATCGACCGGCGATAAATTGCCGGAGGTAAGTAAGCCCAATGGGGACGACGATGTTCTTCCGGCGCGTTCTTTTTTTAGGTCGCTTCCTTCTTTCACGAGATTAAGATCCGCCAGGTCCAGCGCGGCACGCTGCCAGCGGAGGATAACGGTACGCGAGGGAGCACGCGCGTTTATGTAAAATGAGACGAGAGTGAGAGTAATATAGGCAAACAATTGGGCATCCCGATGCTAAATTTATTTTTTCTGGTATAACATTTCTGATGCCGCACCCGGAGACTGATAGTCATTTATCACCATGCTTGAAATAATTTATAAAAGCTTGCAAAGAGAATGAATTAGTAATTAATAATGCCTAATAACTCCTGCGACGATCAATATTTGTGAATATGAATAATTCATACTACCTCACATTTGTATCTAATTTGACAGCTAACGAATTCATGATGTCAGATAAAGTCTATATTTCTAATAATTCACACTTATAGAAGATAAATCTCCTTATATTCCTTATAATTAACCTGAGACTCAAAATGTAATATTATAGACATCAGAATCTGTAATATAAACATCATGCAATTTTGTTCAAAATTGTCGAAAGAGTTGTTCTAGATCGCAAAAGATCTTTCTGATAAGAACTACTCTGAAAATTTAAAAGAAAGCTTTTTACAGTGCTCATTTACTCACAAGCAAACGTCAGTATTCTTTCTATATTTGCTGACTAGAATGTGCCAATCCACAGTGCACTCATCCGAACGTGGTAGAGCAGAATACACATGTGGTAACTTGAGACGCATATCTAATTTGGAACATATATTTGGAATACGGTTGAATCACAATAGAGATTTTATTTTTCCGTGTTTCTCCCCAAGTTACTTGAACTGAGGAAAAAATACAACGGAAAAAAACCCAAGTGTAGCTCAAATATATTCTCAAGTGTATGTCGCAAGAGAGACGTACATCCCAAGTTAGCACACTCACGGTAAATAAACAGGGAAAAAAAAAAGCGACGGAGAAAGTGATCGCATCGTAAAACGCACCGTTCACGATATTGCGAGGCCGCCGACGCGAGATGGAGGGGCGACGGTGAATACGTTTTGTTGACCTATATTTCTAAAAATCCCAAGCTTTAAAATAGTTCGTCGTCGGCAAAGCGTCTCGCTAAGCGCGGTGTGATGCCGGCAGTCGCCGCATTGCGTTGTTCAGCGGGACGTACCACATGCGGCGGAAACCGCACTCACGCGACTAATTACGCAATGCGCCCATGTCAGCTTCGAGAGTGATCTTCGCCCTTTGTGCAGCGATTCACACTATCTTGGTACACAGCTTGCTGTACACCATCGATGGAAATTACAGTGCAATATATGTGTGAATTAATCCTTCCGCACTAAACGTTCATTTAGTGATTTGATCTGGTAGACATTTTAATCATTTCACAGCAAAGATTAACAATGCGTATTGACGTTCTTTGGAATTATATATTTTAATATTATAAACAAAGATATATTGTATGTATATTCATTAGCATATCACTGCAAATAGAAAAGTAAAAATATTTAGAAACTGTACAGTCAATGATAATTTTAACCAATAGATAATTTTAATATTATACTCCATTAAATTAATGTGAAATATTCGACCCCTTTTTTTAATTATCAATTATAAAAAATAAGTATTTGAAAAACAGAGTGAGACATAAATGAAGCTAGCAATTTAAAGATGCAGAAAGTTATTTTTTGCGATTACGAGGAGTATGCGTCACGTTTATGTAAATGACAGGTGATGGTTTGATGAATGGCACGACACTGAAACTAAACTTTAGAATGTTAATGTCGATGAAAGTAAGTTCTATTTATAAAGATTTTTTTGACACACAAATGTGTGTGAAACACAAATAATAGTCGCGGCATAGACATTGAAAATGATTTAGCATGTTAAAAAATCACCTATATAATATATTTTTGAAATTTTTTCTATTATCCTAAAAAAAGCTAAAAATTTGTATTTTAATATGCAGTAAAAAGTACACTTCCAAGTATATGTCAAATGTTATAAAGATATGAAATAATAATAAAACTATTATAAAATAAAATTTTCATCTAACAATAAGATTTGACTTTTTCATCAATTATACAATAAATATGTCAAGCAATTCCATGCAAAAACGCCATTTTTGATCTCGAAAAGCTTCAAACGGTAGTCGAGCAACATATGTTGACGTAACGATTCGAGTAGCGTGTAAACGTCGTTTCTGCGCTACATCGAATAGGGTTTCCCTTTTCTCGAATGTATTTCCACGGACGTTTTCTCGTCGTCACACATGCAGAGTTTTCCTCCTTTCGCATGCTCGTAGGATCACGTTGTTTGCTCGAAGCCCGTCGAGTTACTCGCAAACTCTCTGTTGTCGTTCGTCTCTTCTCTCCAAGTTTCTATCAGTGGTGAATCTTCTTACATGAAGATTCAACAGAAAGAGAAACGCTGATTACGAATCTCGCTGACGTTGTCGAGACGAGACTTAAAAGTATTCGTCCGCATTACGAACTGACAAACAGAAACGCCAGCATGGAGCGGGCATGATCTATTTGTGAATGTAACATTTTTAACTCTTTCAATATTGACAGAATATATCCGCTTTGCAGTAATATTGTCTTTAAAAAAATTTTGCTTCGAAATTATTGAATAGCTTTGGATCAAAAGAGCCGGTTATGAGATAAAAGTGTATTGATCTCCTTCAAATTGAACACAATAGTGTCAAATTTCAATTGAAAAAGTTAAGAGAATAAAATATTGTGCAGACGAAGCAGTAAAAACGAGGTGATCTCGCAATCTATAATTTCTCACAGCCGCTTCACAAAGTCGACTTTCATCGAACACGATGTCGTAAACAGGAAGATGCTTCCATTTGTATCGTGGGAGTAATTAAAATATATCAACACGAGCGCGCTTGTCCAAGACGTTGTACAGTCGTGGGAACCGGGGGCATTCTTATTAATTAGTACAATAAAGAAATAAAAATAGATTTTAAGAATATGTCGGAAGTATCGCGAGACGCGAGAATAACGAAACCTGAGAGGCCACGAGACAATTAACTGCAACGCCATTCGTGTTCTGGCGGAGTCGTTCTGCTCGACTGTGCGAAACTTTCACGACTACCTTCCTTTTTTTCGCTTTGCATTGCACGCTACGAGAGTGAATGCATGCAAATTTATTCGCGAGAAGACAGTTAAAAGAAGCAGTTCAAAATAAATTTAAAATAAGAATGAAGTATTAACGCGCACGTCACTTTTGCGATTTAAGCAAGCGTCTTATAAAATCTTACAAACAAAGATAACTAAATTTTAGTGCCACGTTAAATAAAATTCACGTTTACGATGAAGCAAATGTCTTGTAAAAGCATTCGAACAAAGATAATTAAATCTTAATGCTATATGAAATAAAATCCAATTAAAAATACAAAATATTTTGACACTATTTATTTGACAAAATCGCGCGAGAGTAATCATTTATTTTCTTCTGCTTCTA